TTTCAAAGTTTCATTTAAAAAACTTGTTCATTGCAACAATGATGGAACAGAATTCCCTCCATAGTTTTTAGGATTGGGTTCCAGACCTGAACGTTGTTGAAGTCGATGCTGAGGGCGGTGAAGGGCTCTGTGAGCGCTCTGTATCCCCCGGGCAGCCGGCTCAGCCTCTCTGTGGTGTACGGCTCCGTTGAGTCGTCGGGCTCCAGGCTGCAGCTCACCGGACTGCGGAGCTCCCCCGCCGCTGCCATCTTAAGACCCCCCACCTCTGCAGCACAGAGCCTGAACCAAAACCAGGGACAAGATAAAGCATCATATGGACGGTTCTGTAAATCTAGAAATCCATGCTGAGGCGACCTTTGGAATAGATTGAGAGAAACCAAACCTGTGATGGCGACGGATCTCCAGGCTCTCCACAGCCATGCAGAACACTGTGGCTCCAGCAGGAATGACTCTACCGCTGGGGAGATCCTCCTCACTCCTCTATAGGAGACGCAGAGGAGTCAAAAGTATTAATATTTAATACTGAAGTAGAAATCCTACTGTTTAAAAATACGTTTGTAGAGGTTAGAGGATCAACTTAAGCTTTTTACTCAAGATAAAGTGTAAAAGTACCATTTCTAAAATTATTTTAAGTATAAAAGTAAAATTAATGCAGGAAAAAATGTTAAGGATAGATGCTTTAAACCTTAAACTGGTTACTGCACTACCCTATTAGATTAAAATAGAGAATCCCTTTATTGTACCACAATGGAGAAATTGTGGTGTCACAGCAGTATTGAGGTTTCTCCAGCAAAAAAAGATTCTAAAACTGTTCACACAAACATGGACCTTAAAAAAAAAGTGTATAATAATAACAGAATGAGTGACAGAGTTGAGAGAATAAAAAATCCTGTACTGCACAGTTTTTTACAATATAAATACTGTGGATCTAGAGAATAAATAATCAATATCCAGCTGTGGACATTGTTACAGTAATGCTACGTTCAAACCGCACGCAATAAGAAGCAGCAGTTTTACATGCAAAGTCAATGTGTATCAAGTTTTGAGCAGCAGGAGCAGCGCGTTCTTGCACGTCGAAGCAGCGCGTCCCGAGCATCTGATGCGCTGCTCAAGCAGCAGATGCTAGAGTTGGAAAAATAGAACTTTTGCTGCTCGTTGCGCCACATCAACCAATCAAAGAAGCTGATCTGGGAGCTGGAAGGGAGACAGACAGCACTGCTGATGCAGATCGCTATAATCACTCCCCTGAAAGATTTTATTAACGCCAAAATTCAATTAAAATGTCAAAACCTGACGGTAAATTATGTTCGATTTTAATATTCTGGTGCCTGTGGTTTGGATTACGTACGTGAAAAAGGACTTCCAGCCGCCGCAAACTGTAGCGCAAAAAACCTCCTCAGACAGAAGGAGTCATGAGGGTTATTAGGAGATGCAGGAATCAAGAGAAATAAACTTTGTTCCTGATTTTAATGAAGGAACATTAGAACAGAGCTTAGCTCAAAAGGTTTATTTTTCAGGATATAGAACCTTTACTGTGTAGGAAAAAATCTGCTTCATCTGCTGTGGTTTAGTTCAGTTTGAATGATGTTTTCTCAACATGCATCAACTAGAGTCTAAGGTTCTACAGATTCATCCCTGATGAGGCGACTGGCTGGGAATCATGGCAGCGTGTGGTGCTGGTTTGATGATTGTGACGGCATGAATTTTTTAAAAATAGAAATCTTGTGGGAGGAGTGACCTTTGGAGGCAGCAGGAGGTGGTTCCAGGCATGAATCAGACTCTCGATGATTCCTTCTCCAAACAGGCCGGCATCCACCGTCTCAGTCACCACCAGCGAGACCCTGAACCCCAATAATACGTAATAAATCAGTTTAAGCAACGATATCCTCCTAAATCAGAGAGTGGAGAACAGAGAAGGGTTAGTGGAACCTGTGTGGGATGTCTGCCGGTACGCCCATCTCCAGGGATTTCTTATGGAGAATCTGGATGCTCCCCTCCATCCCATTCTCAGCCACCACCTCACAGGCCAGTTCATACATGGTCTTTGACAGCTCGCAGGCGTAAACCTCGGCAGCACCTGCTTTCTTTGCACACATGCTGAAACAGACAGAAAGCTGGCATCAGACCCGGGCTTCTCAGCTGGAATCCATTAGCTGACGGAGGCAGCAGAGTTGTTCTGATTCCAACTACAGGGACGGTTCTCCAAACTGACGGAAAATATCTCACCCAAGGATCCCAGTGCCAGTACCTATATCGAGCACAGTGCTGCAGCCGCTCTGCACCGCCTTCTGAATGGCCTGCTGGTACTTCTGGTTCCGGCCGCGGTCGTTGAGCATCAGGAAGTGCCAGCGCTCCACCAGCCAGTTCGCCACGCGGTAAAAGTTCTCCCTGGCCTCCAGATAATCCGGTTTGATCTTCAAGGCCTTGTGGAAGTGACCCGCAGCTTCGTCTCTAAACCCCATGCTGGGTGGAAAAATAAAAACATAGATCCAGATCAGGCAGAACTGAAAGCATTCTGTGACAGGAGGAGACGCTGCTTTCCGACGTACCGGAAGAGGTGTTCCCCCATGCTGTTCAGGATGACCTCATCGGCAGGGAAGATCTCCAGGGCTTGTTCGTAGCAGTCAAAGAGTTCCTGGATCCGACCCACCGAGTCCAACTCCTCGGCCCATTTGAAAAGCGTGAACCTGAAAGAGTCCTGAAAAGATGCGTCCCTGCATTTCATTCTGCAAAAACATGTGAACAAAAACACCTTTTTAACTAAGAGGTGAAAGGAAGTTCAGAAACTGTCCTGACAATCCTGACTGGACCGCTCAGAGGGAAACCGGACCGCATCTTCAACTCAAAGTATCCAGTAAAGAAACCACTAAAGAATTTATCGCTGAACAGAACAGAGTGAGAAATGTCAGTGGATATCAACGCAGATGGATTCCTAGAAAACTGATCAATTCAGCCGGAACTTCATCAGAATCAGCACAGAACTAATAACTATAGCATTCTGTTTTAAATAACGACCGTAACTTCAGTCATGTCTTTTCTAAAAGAGACAATTTACTTTTGTCAAAATTGATCTACATGATAATTCTTTATCATGCTCCAGGGTTACCTATGGAGAACCACAAGGATCAGTGCTAGGACCAATTCTCTTCATTATATATATATATATTTATTAGGGATGGGACGATTTATGAAAACCGTCAGAATCGTTCGGTTCGACTGTCTC